TTGTTTTGAGGGCAAATCAACTTCTCCATACTAAAGATGTTAGGCAGCTAAATCCTGTAGCGACATGCACCTTTTATATGACTTTTACTAAGAGGCTTTCTGGCATCACATGGCAGAACTGAGTTTTCAGTCCCACTTTTAACAATATGGTGACCCCACCCCTTGTGTATGTGGTACTGGTAGAGCTATATTAATCCAAGAGCTTGTTGATGCTCTTAATTTCAGGGGACTTTAAAGAGATGAATCAGAAAGAAGGGGTGTGGGAAAGTTAAGATAATGCCCTTTCATGGGAAACCAGACTCCAAAGCTTGGAGATTCTATTGTTCAGAACTCTGCATCACGAAGGCAGTCTACATGGAAGTTGAAGATGGCTGAGGTAGACAGAGCATCTGGCTTTGACTTGATCACTCTCATGCAACGTGTTGCGGACACAACACAGAAAGATTTATTCAACTTCTATAGTTATTCAATAGCTGGAGCAGTTGAGGGATAAGGCTGAAGTTGCATTGAGAGGGGGTGTTCTGAGTTAGCATAGGGCTAACAAGAGTAATTCCATTTTAAAGCCAGGCTCCATCCTGTCAATAAGGTCAGGAATGCAAAGGGAAAAGCCGGAGACACTGATTAACCAGCCGCTGCTCATGTCCTGAATGTACATAACTAAGGGAAGAAAAACACAATGCAATCAGCAGACCTTGTAAAATAACCAGCATGTTCCGTTCTCATGAAGTTAATCATTGTTTATAAGAAAAACCAGAGATTGTAAAACTCCTGTGTAAGTTTGCTTTTACAGAACTTGAAAGATAACCCTATCATGAGACAAGATTGAGCAGACATCTGCTGACCATGAGATGGAGACATTGTTTGCTGACCAAAGCGATAACAATCGTGAGACAGTCCATCAGGTTCCCCTCCCTAGCCCCCTCTCCCTCCCCGTATAACTCACAAAAGCCCCTCACACAGCCCTGTGGGGGACCAGCCAGCTCCTTCCTTCTTGCTGGGTCCCTGGTACACTAGCTATCTCTCAATAAAGCTTTGCTTGCTGAACTTCATATTGGGGACAGTGCTCATTTCTGTGACATTGGGACCCAAGAACCTGGCATTAGTCGGCTCTGGCAACAGTTCAATTTATCTGTATCATGCTTTTCACTTCTCTAAAAGCGTAAAATCTGGGCCAGTTTATGTAGGAGTGATAGCAAGGGCTTTGGTAAGACTGCAAGAAAATGTCTTTTGTTTTGGAAGGGAGTATGAAGAAGAGAGTAGTTTAAAGGGTATTAAGAATTTGGCACGGGGCCAGCCAAGTGGCGCGATGGTTAAGAGCTCGCTTGGGATGCCAGAGGGCCCCGGTTCAGATCCCACATATGAGGGCCAGTGACACTGCCCTCTACAGCTAAGATGCTGAACAACAGCTCAACCTGGAACTGGGCTGCCGTGAGTTGCTGGCGACGGCATAGGCTGCAGTCCCTGTTGCAGTGAGTTGCCATGGGCTACCGTGTGTAGCCAGCAGCCAGCGTGAGCGGCCAGCAGCTGCAGTGAGCGGCCAGCAGCTGCAGTGAGCGGCCTTCCAGAAGCCGGCAACTGATCTGCCTCACCAGGGAAGAGCGCAATGATGGTACCAACTTGGGCCAGTGAAGCAGCGTCCTCCACAACTAGACTGAAGAACAAAAAACGACAGCAACTTGTCTGTTCCCCTTCCCCTAATTCCCCAGCACTGTTCCCATCCCCCCCAATTACCCAATAAAATTAAAAAAATCTTAAAAAAAAAAAAGAATCTGGCACGAAGTACAGATTCATCCTGGTCTTTTTTCCCTTCAGCACATAGCACTTCAAAATGCAGACCGTAGTGAAAGGTGAAGACAGTGGTAGGAGTATCCAGGAGAGGATCATGAATGGAATCCATCATTGCCCTGTTGAAAGGAATTCTGAGTGCAGCAGTAAGAGGCTGCATGCAGTCGATGTGGACTACTCATATTATTTCAAATAAAAATGTAGAAGAATTCTTCAGTGACTCAGTAGTTATATATCTTTTGAATGTAAACTTGTTCTCTATGCATCAGGTTTCCAGGTAATTCTTGGAGAAAACTGTGTTTTTCAAAACCAGTGTTGGGGATTGAGAATGGGTTTCACGCATTCGAAAGAAGGATATATTTTATTAGCTTTGGACCCTTAAATATGTGAACTTCAGCCTTGCTAGATGTCTGAGAAGTCCTATCTGACAATGCAAGCTAGAAAAGCCTGGAGAGAGACAAGCCTATGTCACTCTGGTGAAAAAAGAATCTACCACCACCTCTAATCCCAAGTCGTTAAAATTCCAGAGTTGAGAGGCTGAGTAAACAGATTACTAAAGAGACTAAAGGATGAGCTGCCTTCCCATACATTCAGTATCTGCCACAGAGGACAAGAAAAGAAGCAGGGGCTGCCTAAGTCTTAAATGTGAGCTTTGGTTCTTTGTAAGAATGTTCCGTCCATATGACTACTCGTAGACTAGAAATGAGAGAGGGTTTCAGGAAGAAAATGTTCCACAGTCTCTTGGAGGTGCTCAGGATGTTTCTCTTCAGGATGTCACGGTGACTGCAGGTGTGAGAGGGCAGTCTCTGCCCTCGCCTGATGGTGAGCTACTTGGGGGCTGATTCATCTGGACGCTCCCCCATCACCTTGATTGTAGCCTAGAAACCCTCAGCACACTATGAAACAATCCCTGCTGATTCAGGTCCACTGCTGCAAAAGCTTCCAAGTGCCCATCGCAGGTTCTGTGTGCTTTCAGGCCAGGCCAATATGGAATCCCAAGGGAGAGCTTTCTCAGCCTGGTGTGGAGAGGCTCGGGCTGTCCTAGGTCCTTCAGCCTCCTGTTTTTAGTGCCAGCCTTAATAGCTGGGCAGCTATGAACAGTTGCTGTAAGACATACCTAAAATGGGCTCCCCAAAAAGCTTCAAAAGGGAATGGAGAATACAAGAACGCAGGCATTTAGAATGGGGAACAAGGCCATTTACTGTGTCACTGCCACTTCACGAGCACCAAGGACACTCCTAAAGACATTCAAGTAATTGAGAGGTCCAAGACTGTATTCTACATTTGTGCCTTACAAATAGAATCCTATTTTCTAGGGTCTTTAGGATACTTCCTGAATTTGATCAAACGTAAGTCTTAAAAATACCAGAAAAAAAGCAGAAATAAAATCAACCTCATTTTCTAATCACAATGCAGCAAAAACAAAACTTAAGAGGAAAAGTGGTGATATTATACAACTCTTGGATAAAAGAGGAAGTATTAATGAAAGCTGCAATAACAATTTTGAAATTATCAATGACACTGTGACTGTTAATTTTACATACCAACTTGATTGGGCTAAGAGAAGCCCAGATAGCTGGTAACATAATACTGGGTGTGTCTGTGAGGGTGTTTCCAGAAGAGATTAGCATTAGATTCAGTAGACTGAGTACAGAGATCCACCCTCACCCATGTCGGCATCATCTAAGCCACGAGGGCCTGAATAGAGCAAAAAGGCACAGGAAGGGCGAATTCCCTTGTCTCTTGTGCTGGGACCTTCATCTTTTCTTGCCCTTAGACACCTGAGCTCCTGGTTCTCTGGCTTTCGGACTTTGGGACTTACAACCATGGCCACCCAGGTCTCAGGCCTTTGGCCTTGGACTGGGAGTTACACCATCAGCTCCCCTGCTTCTCAGGTCTTCAGAATCAGACTGAAGTATACCAATCGGCTTTTCCTTTTTCTCCAGCTTGCAGACTGTAGATTAGGGGACTTCTCAATCTTCCTAACTGTGTGCATCAATTCATATTCATTCTCTCTCTCTCTCTCTCTCTCTCTCTCTCTCTCTCTCTCTCTCTCTCTCTCAGTTGTTTCTCTGGAGAATCCTGATCAATAAATACAAACATTGGGCCGGCCGAGTGGCGCGATGGTTAAGAACTTGCTTGGGATGCCAGAGGGCCCCGGTTCGGATCCCACATATGAGGGCCAGTGAACACTGCCCTCCACAGCTAAGATGCTGAACAACAGCTCAACTTGGAGCTGGGCTGCCGTGAGTCGCCGGCGACGGCGTAGGCTGCAGCCCCTGTGGCAGTGGGTTGCCATGGGCTACCGTGTGTAGCCAGCAGCCGCAGTGAGCGGCCGTCCAGAAGCCGGCGACTGATCTGCCTCGCCCGGGAAGAGCGCAATGATGGTGCCAACTTGGGCCAGTGAAGCAACGTCCTCCACAACTAGACTGAAGAACAAAACTACAGCAACTTGTCTGTTCCCCTTCCCCCAATTCCCCAGCACTGTTCCCAACCCCCCAATTCCCCAATAAAAATCTTTAAAAATAAATAAATAAAAAAAAATAAATACAAACATTGTATATAAAATCTATGGAATGTGACCAAAGCCATATTTAGAGGAAAATCCATAGCCTTAAATACTCCTTTCACTGAATAACAAAGAATTAAAATACAGTATTACAGTATGCTGGGTATTTATTGAAAGCTTACACTGTGTAAGGCCTGAATGAAATATATTTCATTTAATCTACATAGTACTTATAAGGTATGTAGTTTCTCTTTTTGCCCTTCATTGTACTTAGGAGGTATTTTGCCCTTATCTTTTTGAAGTACAATTAGGCACATCCACACAATGTTCTAACTATGATCTTTTCCCAAGAACCATTTCACATATTTATTGATTCAATGCCACAAATATTTATTAGTGCTTATTATATACAGGACACTGTAACGAAGAAATGAATAATGCTCTCTACCCTGTAAAATTCAGTCATGTGTGTTTATGATATAGATGAGGGGGAGGATGCAGCTCATTTTATGTTTCCAATTAACCCGACTAGCTAAAATTGACTGCAGTAAATGCTAAAAATGATGCATAAACTCAGCTCCATGGCTGCAGAGAGTAAAGTGATTCCAGCTCAGGGTGGGGCCAGGAGTCCATTGTGGTGCCTGTTGCCACTGCTCAAGGAAGCAGCTTTAAGTTGTGCAAACAATTAATGTGATTGAAACAGAAAGAGCACATGTATTTCCACTTTATTAAAATATTGCATAGATACAGAGCAGTTGGGCACATCCATTCTAAGGCACTATTCTGGTTGGAATGCAATTCCACAAGAGAGAAAAGAGAAGCCATTACATTCGGTATTTTTCATCTCTACATTCAGACTCCTCCCATGTTACATTTTATTGCTACTAGGATCTCAATTTTAACCCCACATTTATAGCAGCATCACACAGGGACTGGGATGACAAGAATTACAGACACATCCTGGCTCTAGCACTTGGTATGATTTGGCACTTAATAAAACTCTCTTGTATTGTTCTCCATTTGTTTCCCAACTCTTGTTTAACTAAAGATATTATAAACTCTTTATGATCCTGACCCATGAATTAATTTCTTTACTAGTTTCCATTAAGCCTAGAACAGGACTAGTTAGGCACATAGTAGATACCCCCAAATACTCATATTAAATATGACTTCCAAGAAATTCAATAAAATAGAAAAAATATACTTTCCCTAATTCTAGTTTAAGGAAAGGATGACTGGTATCTTTATAAAGGGAAAATACTTGAACATTGTCCTATTTCTTATATTTTATAACGAGGAACTAGGCTGAATATTTTCATGTATTAAAAGCTTTAACTGACAAAGAAAGTTCTTCCCTTGCTACAGGAACTTGAGTCATTATAACAATTATATGAGAACATTTATATTTATATAAGTAGCAATGTGTGTGTGTGATTATAAGTAAAAGTCAAAGAGGGTGAGAATAAATGAGCAACTTCTAAATTATCTGAATTAGTGACCCTCATACCTCCTTAAAATATGTGTATATGTTTGTGTGTGTATTACATAAAAAATGTATACATATACAGAATTTTTCATAACACCTTTGAAACGACTGGAGATAACTTGGCTTAGAAGCAACAAGAGTATACTGATAGCAATAGAAATATCTGTTAAAGGCAATGTGTTCCAAGAAATATTTGCAGAATACTAGTTCTGTGAGTTATTGCTGGGTGTACATGAAAAAGGGTTCTGGGGTCAAATAGGTTTGCAATACACTGAGACAAAAGAGGTGCTTTTTCTGCCTTTACTGAAGGACCTGTCAGAGATTCTCATATGCTGATGTGCACTGTGAATCTAGAAGTTCTAAGACACACACTTAGGGAGACACTGAATTAAAGAATGAGTACAATTTAAAAAGCACTGGCAAACATGACTGAATACCAAAGGAGAATAAAAAGCAATGGACACTGGCTCCTCAATCTAAATGAAATTAGATGCTACTTGCATGCTTTCAACTGTCAAATGGATTCTTCCACATAGTGCTTACTATTCTGTGAACAAAATAAACCATCAAATTAATAGCTCTAAACAGCATTGCCCCTAGACTGCCTACAAAGCAGACTAGCAAACTTGGCAAAATTCAAAAGTAAAGGTTACAATCTTAATTTCCTTAAATATAAAAATTTTAAATGGAAATAACCCCGTTCATAAGAGGCACATAAAATCCTCTTTAGCCATGGGTTTCTGACACATTTTTATTAATTGACAAAATACACTGTCTCTCTTCTTGCCACTCGGGACACATATTAAGCTTTGAACTAATATAATAACTTTTAATAATGACGGCAACATAATTATACTGCTGCTATAACAGATATGTCAGATAGACATGGTTATCCATTACACTGACCCTACTCTATATGCTTTAGGCTTACATCTATGATACGGTTGGCTTGGGACGCAAAATTTTTCATTGTCAAAAAATAAGTTGTAGACAGAATAAATCAAATCTAGTAAAGTTGCAAGAGTAGGTGAATACTCTAAAATAATTTATACACCTTGGAAGATGGGTTTTAAAAATAGTGAAAAAAAAAAGCTCTTCTCATAAGCTCAAAACAAAAAGATTCTTCCAAGACAAAACAGGCTGCTGCAGGTTAAGATTTCTTTGAGTTAGTTCTAATTTCTGTAGGACCTGTTTCCTTTAATAATTCTTAAAGAAGTCCTCTAAAGTGAGTGACTTGGTGCATAATAAGGCCTGCTCTCTGTCTGAAGCTTTTAGAACAATGACTACACTTGTATGGCTTCTCCCCTGTATGAATTCTTAAATGAATAACAAGGCTTGGTCTCTGTCTAAAGCTTTTCCCACAATAATTACATTTAAAAGGTCTCTCTTCAGTGTGAGTTCTCTGGTGCAAAGTAAGAGCTGTCAGTCTACTAAAACTTTTCCCACAATTGTGACATCTATGAGGTTTTTCACCCGAATGAGTTTTCAGATGTCTTTTGAGACTTGATCCATGACAAAAGCTTTTCCCACACTCAAGGCATTTATACGTCTCTTCCTCAGAATGGGTTCTCTGGTGCCCTATAAGGTGTGACCGCCGAGTGAAGCGCTTTTTACACACAGTGCATTCATAGGGTCTCTCCCCAGTATGAAGTCGCTGGTGTCTATAGAGGTCTGAACTACGGAGGAATCTTTTCCCACATTCAGGGCATTTATGAGGCTCCTCTCCTGAATGGATTCTCTGGTGCCCTGTAAGTTGTGACTTCCGGGCAAAACATTTTCCACACTGGGAACAGCGGTGAGGTTTGTCTCCTGGACTCTTTTTCTTATGGGGTCTAGGGTTGAGCGGTTCTTCCAAGCTGGAGCTCTCAGGCTTCTCTCCTGCAGGTGGGCTCTGATTATCTACAAGTTTTGTTAAATCTGTCTGTAAATCTTCTGGGGGGTTTCCCCATTGATTTTCTAACTGTACATAGTCTTTTTGCAAAATGGGGCTATGGAGAGCATTCCCTTCTAAAGTAACAAGAAATGGGTACAGATTTTCCAGTTTTTTCTGTTTTGAAGTATCTTCTTCATTTTCTATCCCAATCTCAAAACCTGGGAGAAGAAACAGAAACTGCAGATGTCACTGTGTCCCACAGAGAAAAGAACACGGGGTAAATGAAGGGTTCTATTAAACCACCAGTCAGAATGTAGAAATTCCTAAATAGAATCCAAAACTCTTTACCCTGATTAAGGTTGACTTTTTCTTTTCTTTCGTCTCTATTATCAATGAACATTTACTTACCTATCTTGGACTCAAGTAATTGTTTAATTTCTTTGGAATCTTGCAGTTCCTTCACCCATGCCTCTTCTCTATTGTCCAATGGAAAGCTCACATCAAGCTTTGGTAGTGAATATCCTGGCCATTAGAAAGATGAGAAACATAACAGTTTAGGTTATCAAAGGATTTTTTCCAGAGTTCAGACTGATATCTTGGACATATGGTTCTACCGCAATTACTATTACTTCACCTGAAGTCTCTTACAAGAATCTTTTTCTTTAAGATATGAACAAAAATGAGAGAACATCCTTTCGTGCTCAATACAGAGCTGTTCTCCTCTAATCCATGGAAGGAGTGTGAATCAATTATGTGCTGAAATAAATGAACTAAATGACTTCTGTATTTATTTTGATAATAGATTTATTTAGGTTAGAGACAAAATATGAAGTAAATCTTTATAAAGTTTTGTCATATTAAAATTGAGAAATGCTGCTATTGAGTACTAAGTAAAGAGAGAGAGAGGTAAAAGTAGGAATTATGAAACTGTTTACTGGAATAATTTCAGTTGAAATTTTCAAATTAAAATAAAAGCTGACGGGGTTAGCAACCAGCAAAAGCAGTCTTTATGTTTGCTTCAGCTGAAGTCTATAAGTGGATTCTCTTGAAATTAACCCAAACAGCAATCAAACAGTGTTTCTCACCATCAATCTAAGAGCAACCAGGAGGAGTTTCTAGTATTTACCCTCCCCTTGTGTCCTACCAACCCTTTCCTCATTGACAGCTGCTGTGGCTCACATCATCTTTCTATACCCCTTCCTTGCCTCTCTCAGCTCTGGCAAATAATATTGGTGTGCAATAAAGAGTGGGTTAGAAATTGATGATTTGAGAACTAAATACAGGATGATGCTTACATGTTAGCATTATTAAAATGACATTAGTAAGTTAATTTGATGGAAATTTAAATTTCAAAACATTGTATCAAAACATAGGAAGTGGACTAAAATACCTTATTTTATATTCTCATGGATAAAAAAAACTTTTAAAGATTAAGAAGGGAATATCACTCAGCAATAAAACAGAAGGAAATCTTACCATTTGCGACAACATGGATGGACCTAGAGGGTTTTATGCTAAGTGAAAGAAGTCAGACTGAGAAAGACAAATACCATATGATTTCATTTATATGTGAAATCTAAAGAACAAAATAAACAACAAACAAAACAGAAACAGACTCACAGATACAGAGAACAAACTGATGGTTACCAGATTGCGGGGCGGGGGGGAGTGGGGGAGGAAGGGGGAGTTTGGAGGGCTGGGTGAAAAATGGGAAGAGATTAAGAAGTACAAATTGGTAGTTACAAAATAGTCACGGGGATATAAAGTACAGCATAGGGAATATAGTCAATAATATGGTAATAACTATGTATAGTGCCAGGTGGGTACTAGACTTATTGGGGGGACCATGTCGTAAATTATATGAATGTCTATCCACTATGCTGTATACCTGAAACTAATATAAAACAATATTGAATGTCAACTGTCATTGAAAAAGGAAAAAAAAAGCTTCCAAATTACAAAATATCTTTATATAAAACTTTACTTAATAATTAGACTGTAAGTTGAATTAGGCCTCCTTGTTTCCGCTTGGGTCTCCTTTATGATTTTACTATTTTCTCCCTGATTTCAGTGGAATCTATCTAGCATTTCTCTCCTGTATTTTAAGGAGCAGAGCTCTTTGCCAATAAAGCAGACCTAGCAGTCCCACTCCACCCAACACACAAAAGACCAAGAAACAAAAAATGCATTTCAGATAAAATTCTGTTTACATTTACTATATTGTTTTTGTTTGGATTTCAAAGCTAAGAGTGGGGTGAAAGGGTAATGTGGCACAGATCAGATAAAACTGGAGGTCATAGATCAAAGGAAAGCTGTCATTAATTGAAAGTGGGAGTAAACTGAAACTTGAAGTAAGAAGACAGGTGTAAGACAAAGGCCTAGGTGTAAAATACTGATTTATAATCTAAATGTAGGGAGGGCAATAGGACATTCAACACAATACCATGAGGAGCTCTGGGGAACTACTTACCATTGAAAATGGTGAAAATTAATAAGAATAAAAAGAAAACATGTAAAGTCTCTCAAAATGACCCTAAAGGCATACATCAAATTAGGAAACATCTATTTTTAAAAATCTGCTAAAATTCACAGAGAATAGCGAGAGTCTTAAGTATTTAAGCCAAAACTTCTCTTGAGTCCCCCTCTCTGCTCCACTCTAGACTGTTGTAGCCAAGAGCCTGGGGCACACTCTCCTCCAGCTCCCTGTCAGAGGGATATCTTCCTGAGAGAAGCAGAACCTAAGAATTTCTCATCCTACTCTCAGCTACCTATTGTGCAGTCTAAATTCTAGACAGGGGTCGGCAAACTGCAGCTTGCAAGCCACACATGACCCTTTGGGTACGTACATATGACTCTGAAGTAAAACTGAAAATGAAAATAAAACTATCATAGTTTCACTTATCAAATTTTTAAAGGATATTATTCACATAATGGTGATTTCATTTGTTTTATGGCTCTCGAATACTTTTTAAATTGTTGTCAGGGTCAGGATTGGCTCTTCCGTCTCAAAAGTTTGCCGTCCCCTGTTCTAGACAATCGTGGCTGAGAGGTGGGGGCTCCTTTTATCTACCCAGTCTCCACGGTTGGGATGGAGGATCCTCCTTGGGTGTAGTAGTGCTGAGAATCCTAGGGCCCTGATTGTCATTGTAAGACAATTGTGGTTTTGTAACTGTGATCTTCTAATTGTGCTTGTAACGCAGTAAGTGGTTCCATGTTTTGAGAGGCAAGCCAAGAAACCATGGAGCTCAGACTTAGTGCTCAGCTCCTCAAGTGGCAATGTTACTCAGAGATGAGCACACGGTTGCCCCATCTCCAGCTCCAGAGCAATGGATCAGAGATCTGGCCGGGGAGAAGAAGTGGGCCTTAAAACAGATAGCTCCTGAAGTCTTCTCAAAGAAACTGACTTCATTTGCAACACAGAGTGGAGAAGTTCAAGCCTACAGGTATTCTCCAAAAGAGTGGAGGTTGTAATGAAAGGCAATTGGAAAGAGTTTGATAGATTTATTGAATATACAGGCTAAATTGTAGGCTGACTAGTTTGCAGAAGAGAACTAGGGAAAGAGACAGCTGGGAGAAGCCTGCCTGGGATCCGAACAAATGTCAACACTGACCTCAGGAACTACAGTCAATAATGTTGCAACAATTATGTATAGTTCCACGTAGGTACTAGACTAACCGGGATGATCACTGCATAAATTATATAGATGTCTAACCACTATGCTGTACACCTGAAACTAATATAAAATAATACTGAATGTCAACTGTAACTGAAAAACATAAGTAAATTTTTAAAAAGTGTTTGAATTTTATTGGATGAGTCTGCAGAGTAATTTATGTTCCAGGGCATTGTTGAAAACAATATCACAATTAGCTGGCAATTGATAGCTGGGTCTGATGAGGGAAAGAGATAGCTAAAAAAAGCCCTGCAAAAACTACTGTCATTCCAGGGTGACTGTATGCACACCCAATGCTGTACTCCATGAGGGGCAACATCAAATGCTTAACATCGCAGGGTGGACTACACTTCACTAAAATAATCCAGCCATTCACCAAACAAATAAACAAGGAAACAACAATAACAAGCTCTGGGGACGGGGAAGAAGAACATAGACTTACTATATTATCTAAAATGTACAGTTTTCAGGAAAAAAATGATGAGACATGCATGTGGACAGGAAAATATGACCCATACGCTGGAAGAAAAGACCAGGCAACAAAATCTGCCTGTGAGAGTGACTAGATATTGAATTTAACAAAGACTTCAAAGTAGCCATTACAAACATGTTCCAAGAACTAAAGGAAATTGTGATTAAAGAAGTAAATTATGGGCCGGCTGAGTGGCTCAGTTGGTTAAGAGCTCGCTCAAGAGTGTGAGCTCTGAGCAACAGCGGTTTGAGTCCCGGCCCAAGCTGAGCAGCCACTGAGCTGCCAACAGGTGGCAGGATGGCTCAGCTAAAAATAAGTAAATAAATAAATAAAACAATTAAAAAAGAAGAAGAAAATTATGATGATAATTTCACATCACATCAAATAGAGAACACCAACAAATAGATAGAAATTATAAAAAAGAATCAAATGGAAATTCTGGGGTTGAAATGTATAACTGGAATGAAAAATTCACTAGGAATGGCTCAAGAGTATATTAGGGGCCAGCCGAGTGGCACAATGGTTAAGAACTGGCTTGGGACGCCAGAGGGCCCCGGTTCAGATCCCACATATGAGGGCCAGTGACACTGCCCTCTACAGCTAAGATGCTGAACAACAGCTCAACCTGGAGCTGACGAGTCGCTGGCGACGATGTAGGCTGCAGCCCCTGCTGCAGTGGGTTGCCATGGGCTACCGTGTGTAGCCAGCAGCCAGCGTGAGCGGCCAGCAGCCACAGTGAGCGGCCGTCCAGAAGCCGGCGACTGATCTGCCTCGCCCAGGAAGAGCGCAATGATGGTGCCAACTTGGGCCAGTGAAGCAACGTCCTCCACAACTAGACTGAAGAACAAAATGACAGCAACTTGTCTGTTCCCCTTCCCCCAATTCCCCAGCGCTGTTCCCATCCCCAAAATTCCCCAATAAAAATCTTTTTAAAAAAGAGTATATTAGAACTGTCAGAAGAATTACGCTATCAGAAGAACAGAGAGAAAACAAATGAAGGAAAATGAATGGAGCCTCAGAGAAAAATGGGGCACCACTAAGTGCACCAACAGATATATAATGAGAGAACCAGAAGGACAGCAGTGAGATAAAGGAGCAGAAAAAATATTTGAAGAGATAAAGGCCCTAAACTACCCAAATGCATTGAAAAACATTAATCAACACATATAGGAACCTCAATGAATTCCAAGTAGGATAAGCACAAAGAGATATACAAACAGACATATCATAGTAAAAATCCTAATAAGTAAACAAACAAACAAAAAACCTTGAAAGACAGCAAGAGAAAAATGACACGTCAATTATAAGGGAACCCCAATAAGATTAAAAGTTGAGATATCATTAGAAATAATGGAGGTCAGAAGACAGTGGGATAA